CACACCTTTCTTCTATAATAGGCTTTTCACTATCATTTAATAGGACTTATTTCCAGATCTTCCACCAAACTGGTTGTTCTCCTATTAGTCAGTGCCTGTCAAGGTTAACACAATCCTTTTCTCATCCATATTCTCAGCTATCAAAAGGCCATCCCTAATAGCTTTACCTTCCTTTGTGAATTCCTGTTTTTAGATCTCTCATCAAAGAAGACTGCTGTTGTAAAGCACTATCAAGTCGGTTCTGACTCATAGCAATCCCATATAGTGTTTCCAAGGAGCAGCTGGTGGGGTTGAACTACTGACCCTGTGGTTCGCAGTCCAGTGCTTATCCTATAGCGCCACACCAGAAGATATATCTTGGAAATTTGCTAATGCCAGGGTCAATTTACCACAGTCACAAGTAGGATGAACAGTGAGACAACACCCCTCTCTGCTACATTAGAAAAGGCAAAGCTTAGGATACCAGTTGTTGGTTCTTTATATTGGGAACTTCCAGAAATTTATGCTAAAGAAATTCATAATAATATTAGAAATATAACTCTATAAAAGTCAGCTATCCTAAGACATTACTCAATTATTTGCTATAAAAATGTGAAATCATCCCCAGAACCAAAAAAAGTGTTCAGGGTTACTCTTCAGATGATGTTATTGTGTGGTGTCAATCATACTCAAAGTGACCTTAAAGGGCAGAGCCAAATAGCCCGATAGGGTTTCCTAGGGTTATGGGAGCAGATTGCCAGGTCTTTTAAGGAGCCCTAGGTGGGTTCACATCCCTGACCTTTTTAGTTAGCAGCCAAGTGCTTAACCATTATGCCACCAGAGCTTCTTTCGAGATGACACTATGACATAAAATCTTATCAGCTATGGAGCAATCTGAATGTAATGACAATGGTCTACATGAAGGCTGTCAAAGGGAGTGAAAATCCACCAGGATCCATTCTCACCTGAGAGCTCATGGAGGCTGGGGAAGAACAAACTTCTTCTAGGTTCAGATTGTGTGTGGTTTCCTTTTCTCTGAACTCAGAAGTTCTTTCTGGCTTCTCTGGTGGCTCTGGATCAGGAGATGCCTGTATGGAGGCCCTAGGACTAGGAGTCTCAGCCCCTAAGAAGGCCCTGGGGCTGGTGGGTGACTCTGCTTCAGAAGCTGGAGGGCTGGAAGGAATGTTCCCTGAGGAGAGCCTGGAACTGGCTCTGGGTGGAGGAGGTCTACTGGGGGGTGCTGAGGTCCTGGAGAGAGAGGCTCTTTTCTTTTGTTGCTCAGATCCTTCACTTGTGGTGCGGGTTCGGAGGACTACTTCTGGAAGAGATGATGAAGTTTGCTCTGAAGGGTTCAGGGCTCTGCCTGGTGATGGAGCTGGGGAGCAAGAGAAAACTTCTTCCTGGAGCTCATCACCCTCAATGGTGGGAGAGGGCTGGGTTTGGGTTGGGCCATTGCAGGTTGGCAGAGGCTCTGCTTCCTCAGAGACCCTGGTGCTGGGTTCTTGTTCCTCTGTTTCTTCATCTTTTAAGGGTTCTCCTTTGATCTCAGGGGTGTCTTCTCCCTGGGTTGGATCAAGTGCCAGGTCTTCTTCAGCTGCTGAGCCAGACTCCCCCTCACTCTTCAAGGAAAGTGCAGAGGAACTAGTAGGTGAGGTGACAGAGGGACTTGTAGGTGAGGAGGCTGTAGATGTTCGAACTGGAGCTGAGATGACTAAAGAGCGTCTGCTGTTGCTAGAAAAGGAAGGGTTTTCAGATTCAGAGGAGCTACAATCAAAACAATGTAAATACGCACAAAGAAATTAAGCTGCATGCATATAAAAAAGGAGAATAAAATGTTACAAAGTTTATATCAAATAATGCTCATGCTATAAAGTAAAGTGAAAAAAAGATTACCCAATTTTATTTATATCATGATCTCAGTTATGTAAAAACATATAAAGAGAAAAGAGACAAAAGAAGACACAGTAAAATCTAACAAATATTTTCTCTGGAGAGGCTATAAATTAACCTGTTAGGTGCTGAGCACTTCCACAGTCAGTATCAGCTTGAATCCCTCTTCTGTATGGTCTCCTGACTGACGGAACAACCCACACCTCTAGAGATACCAAACTAAGTGCTATGTTCTGGGAAAAGGGATAATGGGACATAGGGTAAAAGGAAAAGAGAAACTGACTTCCTGCCCTGTGAGCGCTTCTGAGACTGGGGAAGCTGCCTGACAGAAAGGTGCTTTCCAGCCTTCGTATTCTAGCAATCAGTAAGCTTACGAGGCTCAGGACATAGCAAAAACAAGGCTGCCTTTCCCTATAGGTTTCTGGGATAGCTCACTGTAAGTGAAGGCTTGGTTGGGAAAATGAATAGCTAGAGAGAACTCTGGTTTTCAAGGCTTAGAAGAGAAACACAGCATTTGAAGCAAAACGTAATTCATCTAGGAACTCTACACTGACCCTTTAGTTGGTTCTGTAGAGTTCAACTAATTGCTATATGAGTGGGGCTTGCTATGAGTCAGAATGACTCAATAGTCCTTAACAACACATAAATGTGAGTCTTCTTCTTCCTTCATGTCCCAAGCTCAGTGTCACTACCTCCTTGAAATCTTCCCTAACCATCTGCACCTTGATGATTACTTACCTCTCTGAAATTCCTACTGGTCTCATTAGGCACTTGGTATGTACAAGCTTATATTGGTCCTTGTTTCCTGAGGCAATCTTGTACCCTTCAAAGTTTCTGTAAATCACTTTAGGGAAAGGACAAGTCTCCAATGTCTTTGGATCCCTAGCACTGAGCATAAAGCACTGTACGTAGAAGGAACTTAATCAAATTTCCTGAACAAAAGCTTCTGAATGAGAAAGTGATATTACTATGAGGGACCATCGAGTTGCTGAAGCATGTATAAACTGTGAAGAATGATTGAAGACAAAACACAACACAAAAAACCATGGAAAAGCCAAGTTATAATAGACTAGGTAAAATATATGCATTAGAATCCAGAGTATGCAAAAAACTCACATAAATCAAGTTTTTAAAAAAGGGTAAATAGTCCAATTAAAAATGAGAAAAGGAAAAATAAGTACTCACTGAACAGGAATAATATGAAAACATGCTCAAGCTAACTAGGAATTGTGGTGACATGAATAAAACTATGAAAAATCCCAGTTCATGCCCATTAATCTGGAAGAATTAAGAAGTCTGACAACATCACATGTGCTAAGAATGAGGTACAGCTCAATGCTGGTGATTTGTAAATTAAACCATCACATTTAAAAGCAATTTGGCTAGGTATTTAGCAGTTCCCCCAAAGCTTAAGCATAGAATTAACACACGATCTAGTAATTCCACTCCCATGTATAGACCCAAAAAAAGTCAAAGTAGGAACTCAAACAGATTCTTATATGATCACTGAAGCACCATTCACAAAAGCCAAAAAATGGAAACTACTAATGTTCATCAGCGAGTGGCTGGGTGGTGCACAGATCAATGGATAAAGAGAAATGAAGTTTTGAGCACGATGAACCTTAAAAACAGTATTTTGAGTGAAATAAGTCAGACACAAAAGGAAAAGCATTTTACGACCCTACTTATATGTGCTCATAAGGAACCTGTACATAGACCAAAAGACAGAACGAGGGAATGCTGTGCAGTTTTAAATCAGGAAAAGTGTGCATCAGCATTATATCCTTTCACCCTATTTATTTAATGTGTATGCTGAGCAAATAATCTGAGAAACTGGATATATGAAGAAGAACGCAACACAAAGATTGGAGAAAGACTCATTAGTAACCTATGATATGCAGATGTTTGCCAAAAGCAGAGAGGACTTGACACACTTCCTGATCAAGATAAAAGGCTATACAGCCTTCAGTATGGATTATATCTCAACACAGAGAAAACAAAAAGCCTCACAACTGGACTAATAAGCAACTTCACAATAAATTTCACTTTACTTGAATCCATAATCACCATCCACGAAAGCAGCAGTCAGGAAATCTAACTAGGCAAGTCTGCTGCGAAAGGCCTGTTTAAAGTGTTAAAAAGCAAGATGTCATTTTGAAGACTAAGGTGTGCCTGACCCCAAGCCATGGTATTTCAATCACCTCATATGTATGCATAAGCTAGACAATGAATATGAAAGACCAAAGAAGAACTGATGACTCTGAATTATGGTGTTGGCAAATATTAAACATATAATGAACTGCCAGAAGAATAAACAAATCTTTCCTCAAAGATGTACAGCCAGAATGCGCCTTAGAGGCGAGGATGGAGACTGTCTCAGGTCCTTTGGGCATGTCATCAAAAGGGACCAGTCCCTGGAGAAAGACATCATGCTTGGGAAAGTAGAGAGTCAGTGGAAAAAGAGGAAGACCCTCAATGAGATAGAGTGATACAGTAGTAACAACAATCAGCTCAAACCCAGGAATAACTGTGAGGATGGCACAGTGTTTCATATTATTGTACATGGGATCATTATGAGTTGAAATCAACTCAATGGTACCTAACAAAAACACACGGCTATTTGTTATGTTACTCTTTATACCTTCAGTTATGTCTGAAAATCAAAAATAAAAGAATTTATATAGGAGTGTGGTGCAAACAACAAACATCATGCATATGAACAGCAGAGGGAAGGCCAAGATTTGAGAGAGGTAAGTGTCTTGAATATTCACACACACACAGGACTCAAACACAGAAGAGAGGCAGCGAAGTTGCTCACCTTGATAGTCCCTTCACCACAAAGACTTTGTTGGAATGCTGCTTCTCCAGGTTGCTCATCACCTCATACAAGTTGTGGTTCAGCTAGAGTCAGCAAGGAAAAACGGGTTGCTTGCCAGATGCAAACAGAGACTGGTATATATCCTTTTTTTCTCCTCTCCCTCCGATAGATTCCCTAAATAAAACCTCCCCACCTTTTCAACTCAGATCCATCATTCCTGTTCACCTATGCGTACTAAAGCGCAGGCTCCTGTCCAACCATTTCTTCTTTCTCATCTGTCTGTGTCTCAAGTTCTGTCTCCTGCATCAGACTTGCAGTAATCCTAAAGCCCAGTCTGTAACTGATTTGTGTGATTCAAGGTTTTAATTTCTTTTAGGTGCTGAGCATTTAAGTGAATTGAGGAATATAAATTCATTTTATTATAAGTTTGGCAAATCATAATTTAGCCAGAGTATGAAGAGGGATATATGTGTCTGGGTGTGTGAATAGAATTATTATTATAATAGCGATGAATCTTGGAATCCCAGGACTTTATGGCTGCTTGTCACTGACAGGTGGTTTTTCAAGACTATATACCTAAGACACCAACCCGTGACTAAATACTATCCTTTCTGCTCCCCGCTACCAAAAGATGGCGATTTCACAACTTGGGATTCTCATTTTAATCATTCCTTCCATGTTCCTAACCTCCTTTTATTTATGCGGAAGCTGAAGTCTGAGTGCTTTGCTTTATTAATAGTGAAGAATCAGGTTCACAGATAGTGTCTAAGTATATGTGCTTCATTTTAATATTGCTCAACAATTAATCAAGTACTAGTATTATTTCATCATGAAACAAAAGTAAAAATCTTGTTCTATCAATACGGATGATGTTGCTGTGTGCTGCTGAGTCTGTTTCGACCCATATCAACCCTGTATAGGGTTTCCAAGTAGGGGCTGGTGAGCCTTGAACCACTGACCTTGCAGTTCAAACCAACCTGGAGGCAGAGTACTTATCCTATGGTGCCATACCATGACTCCTCAATACAGATAATGAATAAAATTGTGTATTATCAGGGTTCTAGTGTGGCACTGTGGACAATAAGCTGGTCTGAAAAGTCAGTTTCAACTGCAAGGTCAGTGGTTCAAGCTCACCAGCCACTCCTCAGAAACCCTATACACGGTCGCTATGGGTCAGAACCGACTTGATGGCATTTAATAAAATCAACATTCATATTTATTAGAAAATCCCACTTAGGAGTCTAAATCGGCCAGATATTTCTCACCTTGCTCATCTCTCTGTAGAAAACATCCCTCAGGTTGGAAATGTTTTGGAAGATGGTCACGTAACAGCCAATACGACTATGAGGAGGCAAAAAACCAAACACACAGGGATAAGTGATGGCAAAAGAGGTCTTTGAAATACAAGGCAGGAACTTCAGTCAAAATCAGCCACCTCCGAGGCTCTTCAGAGAAGGGCACCTCACTTCCCAGATGCAGGATGTTCTGGGATCTGGTTTTATCAGAGCCAGGCTAGGAATACACCTGACTCCAGGTGTTGAAAGACCACAGGAGACACTAACAATCCAGGCTGACACCAAAGTAAATGGATTTCTAGTTTTATGAAGTTATCTGATTCCGGTTCTTTAACTACAGTAGACATGAAAGTATTTTAAAGAATTTATGTAAGTCCAATAATTACAATTATTGTAATAAGTAATTATTCTTTCTCTTTATGTAATACTTAGGTTTCTGTGAAGAAGCATGTTCATTTATGGAATTCTACTTCATATAAATTCAGGAAGCTCACATTTAATTATAAACTATTAAATTCCAACTCCATTTAAATTAAGAGTTACATAATTAATATTTAGAATACTTGCAGTCAATAGAAAGGCTCCCTTATACAGACTAGCACTAAATGGCAATATAAAAATACTTTGATTATAATTATATTATCTTGTACAATGAAAAGAAAATATGACATAAATGGAGTTTCCATTCAGATTCCTCTTCCAATGTAGAAAAGTTGTATATTATATATTTTTAGCAAACAAATACTAAAAACATTTTGCTACTGTAAACAAAGATATCTTCAATAATTCAAAGGATCTCTCCAAAGTTTATCTTTTATGTATAGATGAATATTCATGAAGGAGGCTTGTTTAACAATATACACTTGAGCATGAAACCAGATACATTCAGTATGCATGATGATGGCACTTTCCTTGCCCAAATCTCTCCTATCCACGGAGCAACTTGTCTTCACACCTGGAGAAGCTGGCAGGGCAAGGGTGCTTATCCCTGTATTGCAGGCTCTAGAGAGAGAAGGTGGCTTGGCTAGTATCACACAAGTTAGTGGTGGGGCTGAGGCTCCATCCCATTCTTGGACCAAGGCTTTTTTCATGAGGTACCATGCTCGGGTTGTTGGGTGGTCTGGGCCTGCAGTAGCCCAGATGTTCAGCCCTTCCCTAAATCTCAGTTATTACCTGTTGTAAAGAATAGGCAGCTCCTCCAATAGTTCCTGGTTCAGGTCTTCAAAGACAACCTGGGCTTTATTGAATTCTTCCTCAGCCTAGGTGGTAAAAGAGACAAGACAATCCCCCTCAATCCTGAATTTGAGGCTAGAGGCTGCCCTCCTACATTCTCTGTACTTTTTTTCAGGAACGAGGCTTACTTGGAAGGAACCCTGGTGGTGCAGTGGATAAGTGCTTGACTGCTAACTGAAAGGTCAGCAGTTTGAACCCACCAGCTGCTCTGTGTGATTAAAGGCTTGGCAATCTGTTCCCAATATATATATATATATATATATCAATTAGACAGAAGATATTTCTGCATATGTATTTATAGGTGCTGCAAATATATCCATGAGTAGAACATACAGGGGACAAAGTTATGAAAACTTCTTAGTCATAACCAAAGACCTTGGCGGAACGTGTGGCTGGGCCTAGGGGTTCAGGACAAGAGACTCGGGGGACATGTAAGTCAACTGGCATAACAAACTTCACAAAAAGCAATGTTCTACACCCTACTTTGGTGAGTAGCAACTGGTCTGGGGTCTCAAAAACTTGTCAGTGACCATCTAAAATGCAACTATTGGTCTTACCCCATCTGGATCAAAGAAGAATAAAGAAAATCAAAGATGGAAGTAACAATGAGTCCAAAACACTGATGATAAATCACGTGAATATCCCAGCCTCCATAACCCTGAGAGCAGAGTAGATAGTGCCAGCTCTGAAAGGGGTCATAATAGGAGGTCCTGGTTTGAGTGGGAGAATAATGTGGAACAAAATTCAAAATTGGAACAAAGACCAGGGTTACTGGTCTGATAAGAGACCGATGGAACCCCTGAGCCTATGGCCCTTAGTCACCCTTCAAGCCTGGAACTGAACACAATGCCATGGCTCAACTTTCAGCCAAATACTAGGCCTACAAACTGGACAATAACACCAGAGAGGTACATACTCCTTAGAACAATCAACCCTATGAAATAAGAAAGGCAGAATGTTCCCAGAGCTAAAGCAGAGATGGCAGGAAGGGAATGGAAAGAAGAGTAAAAAGAAATGGCAAACACAGGGAAGTGGGAAGAGTGCTAATATATATTGTTCTGTCACACAATAAAATGGATTTGCATTATTGAATGGAAAACCAATTTGCTCAGTAAACAGTCACCAAATCACAATAAAAAAGAAAAAGATAACTAGCCTAGGAGAGACTACGGGGCAGGTTTCCTCTGTCATATTGGGTCACCAAGAATTGGAATCAACTCAATGGCACACAACAACAACAAGCTTATTTGGAACCATGTCTTTCTTTCCCTATCCTCAAATCCCTGATGATCCTTAGAGCATCATCAATATCAGAGGAAACAGGATTTCCTTCAGGAAATTGGATGGAGTTTATCATTTCCTAAACCCAGGTTGGCCTAGCCACTATTATGGGGAGAGGGAGGGCAAGAATGGTTTATCAAAAAAAAAAAAAAAGAAAATAGAACACAAGGATTATACTCTGGTGTATGAACCACAAAACTCTGTTGATACAAAAATGTACAAGGAGAAGTTAGTAATAATAGAAAATACTTCATTCTTCAGCAGATACTTCAGATTTTTAAGTACTTTTATATAAAAACAAATGAACAGATGCATTGCAGAAAGCTGCACGTTTCTCCCTTTATTCACTTACTGAAAAATTCTACACTATTACATCAGCTCATAAGGAAATGTAGTGAAGCTAAACAAAAGTTTCAGTGACCTCTGAATAACAGGAGCCTTGATTGCCAATAGCCAATAGCTTTTTGGTTTGAACAAGAAGTTATAGCTTATACTATTTATAGTGTAATGACTCTATACAGATGGGGAAGTCAGATCAAGTGGAATCAGAGTTTTGGGTTCTAATTAGATCCAGCTGTTCCCTGGAAAGCAGACTCTTTATCCCCAAGACCTTTAAAGTAGCAAGCACAAGTTTCAATTTGTAAAAAGCACTTGGAACCTGTGAAGATATAAATGCAGAAATAAATTTAACACTGGGGAAAAAAAAAAAAAAAGAATGGTTTATCAGGCTGTTTTTTGTTTTTTTACCTTGGCTGTCTTGGCCTCATCTTTCTTCTTGGCATTCTGCACAGCCTCCAGGTGGTGCCGGGCACTGTCATAGTCCACGAGTTTTCTACCCCGCTTGGCAATTCTCTCCTAGCCCAGAGTGATCACAAGAGAGACCCTTGATATTCACTTTTTAGTGGCCAGGATATGGGTAACAGAGTACCAACTGAAGACGCAAGATTCTGAGATGCTCTGGTCAAATTTCACTTTCTAACAGGGTTTTGTGATATCTAGAGGAGACTAAGGGCAGTCCTATATGGAAGTTTGCACTGAATTTTAATATTCCTTCGGAGCCCATTAAGAATCAGTACAAATGGCCTTTAGAATCCTACTAAATTGAAAGTTAGGAGTTTTGGGTGTTAACCACAACTCTGTCATTTATTAACCTTATGACCGAGAGCCTTGGTAGCCTTATCTTCTCTACATTGTTGTTGTTGTTGTTATGTTCTGTGGAGTCGGTTCTGACTCATAGAGACCCTGTACAGGGTTTCCGAGGGTGTAAATCTTTACGGGAGCAGAAAGCCTCATCTTTCACCCGCGGAACAGCTGGTAGTTTCGAACTGCTGACCTTGTGGTTCCCAGCCCGATTCGAAACCATTACGCTACCAGAGCTCCTTCTTCTCTACATAGCACTTGCTATTTTAAAGATCAAATGTTGACTGTAAAGTGCTTTGAAACCTCTAAGTCACCATAAAAACAGAAAGTACATTATGAGCTTTAATTCTGCCTGATCTCACTTAAACTACAAATTATACCAGAGATGCAAACTATATCATCAATCCCCGTTTCATCCTTTCAGCCACAAAATCTGAAAAGACCTTAGCAATAATCTGGTTCATGCAACTCTTCTATGGTATCCATGAAAAGAAGCAGTAACACATTTGCTTGAACAGCAAGCAGAGAGACACTGCCCCACAGTCTACTGAACTTCACTTTTGGAAAGCGCTAATTCTAAGAGCTTCTAATAAGTCAACGTCCCGCAATTTGTTTCTATTAATCTACAATCAGAACAGTGTTGAGTAAATATATAAGTTAACTGAGTATGTAAATTTAAATTTTGCTTTCTGGAACAATTGATAAACAGGTTGAATTCTTCTTTCTCCTAACAGCCATTCAAGCATTTGAAGATAATTATGTCTGGGAGTCCTGGTGTGGTGCTGTGGGTTAATGCACCAGACTGCAAAGATGCTTGAACTGCAAAGTCAGCAGTTCAAGCTCTCCAGCTGCTCCTCGGAAACCCTATTACAGGGTTGCTATGGGTCGGAATCGACTCAACAGCACTTAACAACAACAACAACAAGTCGTCTTCAAGTTTCCTCTCCTCTAAAATAAAAATGCATACTCCCTTCAGCTGTTTCTCAGAGCTAAAAAGGATGCCCTGACCTGGAGCTAATTAAAAGCCAGCCAAAACCTAGCTGACTGAAATTTAAGTGAAACATAACCTTCGTTATTTCTAACACTCAACCCTAATCTTTTGTCTAATTCTCAGTCTTAATACTTCTCCTAACCTTCCATCCAATTTCATTCCTTGGGACTCAAACTCTACTTTCAATGTTTAACCTAATATATCTTTTAATTTGTATGGGTCACTTACAACCCAGCCTTGATTGAGTAATTTAAGTACCTTAATGTCACTGAACTGGGCTATGTAATTTTCCATGGTTCTCACAGCCTGGTCAGCCAATTTTTCTTCATAGTCTTCCCAAAGGAGATCATTATTCTGTGGGATAGAGGCAGAGTCTGGTGAGGGATCTACTTCTTAATGTTAACTATCTACCAGGTAAATATCCAAAATTTCCCTGCAAAAAAAACCAAAACAAAACACTTCCTTCTGGGAATACGCTATTTAGAATATTATGATGGACGTTGGGGAAGTGTCAGAAATAAGAAATAGCACTTATCCCAAGAAATTCCTATAGAGGAGACTGGACATACAATCAGGGGTTATGGACAGAAACAAATCCTGTACTCTAGAAGGAGTTTTGCAAGTTAAGTAACTGCAAGAGGTTAGTTTTCAAATACAACTGATCTTCAGGAGGCTGGGGTGGGGGGGGAATGGGGAGAATGGCACTACGCCCATGGTTCTAAAGAGGGGAAGAACGAGGTAAAAAACAGCGATCCACAGATAATGGGAGAACCTGTTTTCACACTAATAGTGGCAGCTTCTCCTTCCTACCACCTAAGAACTGAGGCTATTCAAATGAACAATGTGAAATGACTCTTTTGTTTCCCTGTTTACTCTGGTGGAGAAACCAGGTTGAGGTTGAGATAAGAGTAGGAGTTGTTGGGCCCTAAGAGAGTGGTAAAGCTCAAGTCTTTCTTACCCCTATGATGGCCTTAAGCTCCTCTTGACCATCCCAGTCGCTGCTGTAGATCTCCTGCAGGGTTTCCGACACTCTCTTTGAACTTTCATGCATCACTGGAAAGAAAGAACTCAGTTCTAACACAGTTTTCCCAAAAGTGGTTGGCATAATCACATGGGTGTAAACAAATCAATGGGACTCAATTTAGAAGGACCAATTCAGAAGATTTGGATTACTAGTGACAAAAGCTGGATGGGGTTAGACAAGACAAAATTACTCTTCTTAAGTTCCCAAAGAAGTCCTGGTATGGTGCTGTAGGCTAATGCGTCAGATTGCAAAATCATTTGAAATGCAAAGTTGGAGGTTCAAACTCAACCAGCTGCTTCTTGGAAACCCTATTCAGGGTCGCTATGGGTCAGAATCGACTCCATGGCACTTAACAATAACAAGTTCCCAAAGGAGTCAGGCACAAGCAAGGGATAAAAGGCCTGGATATACATAGTGGTTACAAATCGGCCTGTGAACCTTAAGGTCAGCAGTTCGAAACTACCAGCTATTCCATAGGAGAAAGATGAGGCTTTCTGCTCCCATAAAGATTTACAGCCTCGGAAACCCTGTACAGGGTTGCTATGAGTCGGAATCGACTCCATGGCATCACCACCACCATAGTTTTTCCTACTGGCTTCCATCCCTAGATCTCTCTCTTTCTGTTTTTTTAAATACGTGATGTACTTTATGTATTTATTTAACTTTTTATTTTGAAATGGGTGAAGGATTTACAGAGAAAATCAATTTTTCCATTAGTTCATATACATTTTGTTCCATGTTATTCCTACAATCCCCACAATGTAATATCACTTATCTACTTCCTCCCTGTATTTCCTGTTTCCATTTCTCCTTCTTTCCTAGCCCTCTGAACTTTGTCCTTGGGTAAATGCTGCCCTGTTGATCTCAAATGGTTGATTATTCTAAGGTGTGCGTAACTCTGTAGAGTTAGATTTGTCTATTGTTTGGCAGAAAATTGGGCCATGGGGTAAGTTCATTTTCAGACATGAAGGATGAAGGGCCAGTCTTACCAGTATGCTGATCTTTTTTTTTTTAAATTGATTTTTGTTTTACATTTTTTTCCTACCCTATCTAGGACATGGTCCCTTTCAGAGCAATAATGGTAGCTGGACACCACCTAGTTCTTCTGGTCTCAGGGTCATGGAGACTGATGTTCACATGGTCCATTGGTATATATCTGATCAGCTGTTTCCATGAATCTTCAATTTTCTTCACTCTTTCTTCAGACAGGAAGAGAACAATAGCTGCACCTTACAGGGGCACTCATGAGCTTTTAAGACGCCAGTTGCTATCAAAGGAGACTATAGAATACTGTCTTTTTGGACTACTTTGCGTCAATTGACCCTGGGTTCCCAGGAGCCCATTGTCTTGATCTTCTTACTTATTTAACTGTCCAGGAGTTTGTACCCTGCCTCCCCAGACAATCTGTGAGATCCGATGTGGCAGCTGGTACTGATAAGATGGGGAGGGGGTTGAGAATCTCAGGATTCTGGGAGGAGGGAGTGCAAGCTAGAAGTGGAGTCTCTGGGGCACCTAACAGAGTAGGCAGACCTGCTTATCCTGAGTTATGTTTCCCAGACTGTGCTTCCCTCACTGCCCCCAGGGCCACCCCTTTTCTCCATTAGTCCCTTTTCTCAGCATGGGCTCCCTAGAGACGCTGGCTCAATGTAAGGCTTGGACTGTTTACCAAATGGTCAAAGGCAGACAACTGAGGCAACTTACTAAGGGAATCCTAGCCAGGCTAGGCTCTAGGAGATGAGGACAAAGTCCCAGAGGTATTTCTGGCCTGCATTTTTATTTTCTTCAAGGAGCATTTCTGGCAGAAGCCTTCCTAATCTTGGGACTGTCCCTGCTTGGGTAGTAGCTGGTATGGAAACAAACTCCTCTGTTAGAGATGTCTTTGCCTAACCCCTCCAGTATAATACAAGAATCTCTCTCCACCCATCTGAACATAAATGGAGGCCCTAGTCCTAGACAAGGGTCTCTGGTAGGTACAAATAGTTAATATGCACAACTGCTAACCAAAAGGCTGGGCTGGAAGAATGAGTCCACCCAGACATGACTTGGAAGAAAGGCATAGAGATTTAGTTCTGAAAATCAAACTTTCAAAACTCTGACACACATGGGGTTGTCATGAGTCAGAATAGACTTGACGAAGGAACCTAGATCCAGAGGGTGTGGAGGAAGGTAGAATCTCCACTGAGTAGTATCCAATCTGTCTGGGCGGGGCTGATGAAAGGAAATGCGGATAGGTCTCTTGTGATACAATAGTGAATAATTGTTATCAGGACTGATTGTGAGGGTTATAAATGTAAAGGTAGACATTTTGTGGCAAGGAGGGGAGTGATTACCTTTGCAGCCTAGGAGAAGAGGTCCCTGGGACCATGAAGGGAGAAGAGCGCAGAGTAGGACCCTACCCAGAGAAGCAATGATCCCTAAGATGGAGGCAGAGACATGACATGGTAAGATGGAACAGCTGGGGACTTTAGACCCAGAGAGGGAGAGGGGCTATATGCTGGGGGGGGGGGGGGAGGGTGCAGACTTGTAGGATGTACCTTTGGTTGGTTGATGATGCATGGAGGGTATTGTAACCACAGCAATGTAACGATATACGATAGGATGAATGTAAAACTAATGGTCTCCCATGTAAACTATCACATTATTCACAATAAAACATTAAAAAAAAAATAGACTTGATGGCAATTAGTGATGAGTCCTAGAAAGGCACCCGCCTGGCCTCAGGCCACCCCTCTGTCCATTCCGAGACACTCCATGCCCATAGCTCCTAGGACATTTATTCTCCCTTCTGCATCCATGGTACCCAGAGTTACAGAGAGAAGATATACATTGGATTTTTCTCCAGTAGTCGTGTTCTAGGGGAAAGGCTGCGTGTAAATAAATTGCTCCTGCATACTGACATCCCCAGATGTCTTGTGGTTGTTGTTAGGTGCTGACTCACAGTGACCCTATGGACAACAGAACAAAACACTGCCCAGACCTACACCATCCTCACAATTGCTGTCGTCATGTCTGAGCCCACTGTTGCTGCCACTGTGTCAATCCATTTCACTGTAGGTTTTCTTCGGTATCATTGAACCTCGATTTTGCCATGTGCATGATATCCTTTTGCAGTGACTGGTGCCTCCTGAATTTTAGTAGGTGCATAAATGCCCTCTCTACAGTATGAAGGCACTTCAAAACGTTTGGGGCAAAATTCCATTATTCCATGAACTTTCTGAAGCACCCTCATACAGCAGCCAGGAGTCCTGGTGTGGTGCTGCAGCATAATGCGCTGGACTGCAAGGTCAGTTTGAACCACAAGGTCGGCAGTTTAAACCCACCAACTGTTTCTCGGAAACTCTATATGGGGTTACAATGAACTGGACCTGACTCGATGACACTTAACACAACATATAGTACGCCATATAAGAAGTCATTTGGCTTTTGCTTGAACAGAAAACAGACTCACAACAATGTACTATATTTCCCTTGTCAAAAGCTTTAACTACGATAAGCTTTAGTTGGCCTCTCTTCATTTCTTCCTATTAATCTAAAAATCAGTACAGTGCCCAACAGAATGCTAGGTTTTCCTGGATTGTAATTACTCACCTTTGACTGCACTAAGGAAGTTCTTCAGGTCCTTGTATAGCTTGTGGCCTTCTGCCTGAAAGGGAGAAATGCCTGTGGTGACTAAAGAGACACATTTAAAAAGATGCTCCAGAGATCAAAATGGAAAAGTAGGTTAAATGCAGAAATCACAAGTTAACCACAAATTTGTATGTTGAAATTTCAAAGGACCAGTTTTATAGGAGGCCACTATTATAAAAAGTCAAGGCTAGGCTTACAAACATTCATTGATGGTTACCAGAATGGGAGGGGAAATCACTAACTAGATTGTACACAAATGTTCATTATGGTGAAAGGAAAGGCAATGCACAATATGGGGGGCCATAAGCACAATATGCCAAGGCAGAAGGAGACATAGAGGTATTCAAGAACAATGGCAACTATGTTAAATTCTATAAAATGATACAATCCTGCAACAGATTAGGTTTTGTACTCCCTCTAAAAATGAAGGGAAGAGGTGGGCCGGGTAGTCATTTTGGAAAGACCTTTGTTATAGTTGTGGGTTAACTACCTCTGCCGGATTAGAAAGCTGGGGGCACACTCTCCGACGCTGTGCCTCGGCCTCAGCTGTAGCCCCGCTGCTGCTGGAGTGAAGAGGCCTGTGACATTTTGAATAATTGAGTAATGTAGAAATAGATAAAAAATATTAGGTGATTTCTCTACTGAAGCTGTAACAAGATTCTTCCTATCACCTTTCAGTAACATAATTCAGTCTTCAAAACGGGGCAGAAAACTGAACAGAAATCCTCACTTTGGAACAGTTTACTGCCTATTCCTTTCCCCCTTGTCTTTCTGCTGGTTTTAACTTTGTTTTGAAGTTATAAATAGTGAAGACCAAAGAAACAGAAGATACATTTGGACACTTTATACCAAGAAATTTACCTTGAAAGCTGCTGTTATTCCAGAGAGAAAAGTAAATCAAATTCCTAATCTGATTTTTTATTAAAAACAAGATTTCTTATATTTAGATTTTAAAGATGAATATAAATACCTGTTTTTAAAATATAAAACATAAACATAAAAAACACTGTTTTTAGCAATTGTGTGATTAAAAGTGAGATTTGTATTTTAAGAGCTTTGTCATGTGGATATTTTGTCACTGGAGTTGGCTGCTTAGAAGATCTTTTAATCACTTTAAAATGATGCTTTGGGACTATGACCTTGATGACATCACTTGCCCCTTGAGCCCACCCGTCTAACTCTGGCCTTGTTATGAGCTGTGTTTGCGCTCACTGTACAGATGTCCATGTATTACCTATTTAAGCAGCAGCACAGTGCTATTACTTCAAGCAAGTTGAATCAGGTGAACAAAAGACAGCTCTTTCTCCTTCCCCCTTTTCAGAACATAACAAATGCCTTTTTATGTTCCCCTTCCTTCTCCATTCCCTATTTTGGGAAAGTGTTAGAAGTCAGACAGTTTGAGGTGTACAATTGAGGGGACTCAGAGACTGATCTACACAGAAGTCTGCCTTCTTTGTGCTTCATCACAGGTGTGCTGCAGGCCAGGCTACTTACTTAGCACCCTTTTACCAAGATAACCTTGTGGGAGGTCCAAATGGCAGGCTCAAAGAGCTCAGGAAACAGGACCACAGAGGTTACACTCAGGGACCCTGGCCGTGAGGTTGGATACCTCACTTTGTTGAAAAGAGACACTGGACCTAAATGGTGCAGCATGATTTTGTTCCTGCTTGGCTAAATTTCTCAACACCACAGTCAGCAAAGTCACCTTTGAAAACCATGGAGAGCAGCTATCTCGTGGGGAAGGTAGATCTAGAGTGAGCTGTCATCATCGACATCATTCCTCTGATGGCTTTTTTAACAATGGACCCTTCGAACTACAGGAGATTCCTGGCATTAGCCCACCCTGTTCACCATGATTCTGTGGACTCAACAACAACAGTGTCTCTAAGGGAGGAGCATACTCTGGAATCACTGGGAACCTATCTGGTTTGGCATGGCTCTTTCTGCAGTCATGATGGCATGATCCACCATAGTGGGGGTGGAAAGGCTCTGCTTTTCAAGAAAAAACACGTACAGAAATTAAGGAAGAAAAGAAAGAAGGCAAACGGGAAAAGTTAAGAATTTGATGAGGAAGACTTTTCTTCTTTGAATCTAGAAGCTGGCAAACAGAATCAGCCATGCAGACCTATTCTGGAGTGTGGGAAAACCCACCTCCTGCCGAGCAACCCTCTAAAATGCTGGCCATCAAAAAAGTTTCCAGAGAAGATTCTGTTGCTGCCTTCTCTGCTGCATTCACTTCACCAGGATCGAGAGATACAAATGGAAACAAATTATTAACCATGGTTTCAGGTGTCTTATGCCATTTGTTCCTAAACCTGCACTACCTCCTTCCAAGCCCAGTGCACAGAGAAAGCTAACAGAATGGAACACATTTCCAAGGATCCCTTTCCACTAGTTAGGAAGCTGCTTTTACCAGTTTGATTTCTGTTAACAAGCCAGTAGTACCGGTTGGTGGCACAGTTTTAAACTCCCCCAAAGAGAGCCTCCAGACAAACACCTCCAATTGAGATCAGCTCCTCTCGTCTGAACAAGCTGACCTGCCAAACATCTGACAGGAAGAGTGAGTTCCTGAGGATGATCAAGGATGACCAGAATGGAGAATTCTCAGAGAACAGAGACTCTGACAAACTGGAGGATCTGGAGAACAGTATACCTGAATCAAAGGAAAATGGAGAGGAAAGTTGTTATCAGAATGGCCTTACTCTCCTCCCCATAGTGGAAGGGGAGGTCCTCTCACATTCTCTGAAAGCCGAGAAGAGGCTATTTAAAGCAACGGGACAGCAGGAATATCCTGAAAATGTTGAGAATTGCCTTCCCCTCACAGAAGATGAGCTCAAAGAGTCCCACACAAAGACGGAGCAGCTAAGAATGGCTTCTTACGGTGCTAAAGTTCCTTGGAGAAGCACTGGTAAAGCAGAGTTTCAGGACACAAACACAGAACCCAGTAGCATTAAAACATCAGATGATCATGCCTGGAAGTAGGCATATAAATGCTTACCTGCAAACACAGTCTATGTGTTAGGAAATACACAAAAAGAAACAGTTCTTTCCCTTTTCTTATATTGCTGACATTGAATATTTCATGCACAAAAGAAATAATCCTATCCTTAAGAGAGAGTGATTGATGTGTTTAGCTTGGGTTCTCGTTATTCTTCCCTGTTTTCTGTGCAATGAGAAGTCTGCATGATGGGGTAAATTTTAGAATATATATATATATATATGTTGTTGTTGTTGTTTCTAGGGTCCACTTCTAACTCTGTTCAAACTCTTGATTATGCCTCTGCTGAAAAGTTCCTCTCAAGGGGCTAAAGATAGAAGAGAATGCCAAGGGAAAGGGAATGAGAAGGCAGAAAGCCTCAAAGGAAACAAAGACATTGTCAGAAAGGTGGACGAAGAACTGGCATTATGTAGCATGTTACAGCAGGTGAGGCTCAAAAAAAAAAAAAAAAATGAAAAAAGATATCAAGAAAATCTGATGCTACAAAAGTTACAATGCTAGTTGTTGTTAGGTGCCGTTGAGTCAGTTCTGACTCATAGCAACCCCACGCACAACAGAATCAAACACTGCCTAGTGTTGTGCCACCCTCCTAATTGTTGCTATGTTTGAGACTATTGTTGCAGCCACCCGTGTCAAAACTTCTCATTGAGGGTTTTTTCACAGACCCTCTACTTTACCCAGTATGATGTCTTTCTCCAGGAACTGGTCTCTCCTAATAGTATGTCCAAATAATATGAGAAAAAGTCTCACCATTCTTGTTTCTAAGACACATTCTGGCTGAACTTCTAACACAGGTTTGCTCATTCTTCCAACAGTCCATGGCATATTTAATATTCTTTGTCAACATCGCAATTCAAAGGCATCAATTTTTATTCTATCTTCCTTATTCATTGTCCAGCTTTTGCATGCATATGTTGTTGTTAAGCTGATGAGTTGGTTCCAACTCATAATGATCCTATATAGGGTTTCCAAGGAGCAGTTGGTGGGTTTGAACTGCTGACCTTGTGGTTTGAAATCCAGGGCTGATCCTACAGTGCCAGGTGAATGAAAACACCATGGCTTGAGTCAGGTACACTTTAGTCCTTAAAAGAGAAATCTTTGCTATTTTACACTTTAAAGAAGTCTTTTGCATTAGATTTGCCCAATGCAATGTCATTTGATTTCTTGACTGCTGCTTCCATGGGGATTGTAGATCCAAGTAAAATTAAATCTATGAAAACTTCAATCTTTTCTGTTTATCATGTTGTCACATATTGGTCAAGTTGTGAAGATTTGTGCTTTCTTTATGATGAAGCATAACTAGCAATGCTGGGTAAAAGTCACTGGATGTGATAACTGGAGGTCACTGGTGACTTTTGAGAAAGCACTTTTAGTAGCATGATGGGAACAGACTCAAAATCAGTTCAGAACATTCAGAAACATTCAAAACAGACCAGGAAGAATGTCTTGCTTCTTCCTTGTTTATTCATGATGAAGCACCTTGAGAAAAGATGCTAGTCTGGCCTAGTCAAGCTGACAGGCAACCTTAACCATCACACTTTACCATGAAATTTGATTTAAAAAACACTCAATTGAATAACAGTGAAAGCTGATAAATTATCTTGCATAATTTCCACAGGGAAAATTCTTAACTCCTCCCCTAAGATATTATATGGACTAAAAAGCAGAGCCATAATCAAAACCACCAGGCACAATTGTGCAGACTATATACTGTCCAAAACTAGGGGGAGCTATTATGCCAGTTAGTGAAATGTGAACACCTTCTACCCTCCATTACACTACACAAAAGTGCATCGTGTCCACTTCTGTGTTTTAGAACCAGACCTCTTAGTTACAAAGTTTTTGCTTTATACTCTTTCTTGTTCCTTGAAGAAAATATAGTGTGTGGGGTAGAGAGATGGAGTGTGGTGGACATAATTGGGAAATGATTTATTTCTGACATGTCTGTCCTTCCCAGAAATGTCTCTCTTTGCTCTTTCCTGACAGATGTGACTCTCATAGTCTTAGGCTCTCACCTG